AGAATAGAATAGAATAGAATAGAATAGAATAGAATAGAATAGAATAGAATAGAATATTGGCGAAGTGTGATTAGACACACAAGAGTCTCTGGACAGATCACAATAACAAAACTATAAAAACATAAAACCATGAAAAACATAACACTAAAGGCTAAAACCCAGGTTCCTTAGTCATCCTAGAATGCCTTGACAACATTCCAAGGCTCCTATCATTTTACCCCAGTGAGTGGGTGAAGAGTTAGGTCTTCATGGCCTTCCATTAGTCCAAAATACCAATTCAAGAAAAGAGATATATATCAAGATATATCACTTATGTTAAATTTCCATCTCCTTTTTTGACACTTTTCTACATGCTTCCTTAAACACTAAATACAACATACATAGAGTTAAGCTCTCAACCAATTGCTTGATTTTAATGAACAGCCTATGAAAGGCAGAAAAAACATGCTGACACTTTAAGGAATATGTTATTTAAAGTCTCTTAAAGTAACTGTTCCTTTGTTGAGGCTTTCATAAAAGTTGAAAAAACTTGAGTTGCGTGTTCACACTTACTCAAAGGCGAAGTTATTTTCCTTTGAGTCATTTTCCAAGCATGCAGAACCTCATCAAACAGTAGTAAGATTAAATATTTAGAGTAGTGCCGTTAATGTTTAACTCTACATCAGTGTTTCTCAATCTTGACAACTTTAAGATATGTGAACTTAAACTTTCAGAATTCCAGGAACTCTGGACATTGAAGAATAGACATCTTAAAGCCACCAAACTTAAGAAACACTGCTTTATATACAAGGTTTTTTTTTTTAATTAAAACAAGTTTCCTAGGTGACTGAACCAAAATTTATTCAATATAGCCATCATTTGAAAAACCTGTTTTTTGATTTGACTTAAAATAATGTACAAATATTTTCAAAATATTATTTAAACCAGTAAAAGAAGACTAAGATGTGAAATTAGAAAGAGAATGTGATTATTAATTAGAACTGAATACAAATATGAAAATTTTAATCAAACTCCAATAACACTTTGCAGACATTGGTAAATAAGGGTAAGATTATTGGGAGGGGGGAGCAATAAGAGACTAACCTGTATAGAAGAAACCTACTTTAGACAGAATTGCTGGGTCAGCGTGTGCATCTTTTGGCCACGTTTTGAAGGATTCCAGTCGAATCTCTTCATCCTTATAGATGTTCAGAAAGGGTTCTAAATCCTCTTTAGAAATCAAAAACATCACAGGGTTTAGGAAGAAATGCCTGAGATATCGTCAAGTAGACATATTTACATGATTTATAGTAGAGAAGAAAATGTATGTTGTTTTTAAAAGACCCAGAAAATTGTAAATAAAGAAAACTGAAATGTCTTTGAATATTATGGTAGTAGCTCGCGTTGGTATGTTGTTGGTTTGAGCTCCGAGCTTGGCGATTTGTTTGCAAATATTTTATCCCCATTCGAGGAGACATCATCAGTGTTCTTATCCAAAGTGCACTGAAGATGTCTTCTTGCATGGAGATAAAATTTTTGCAACCAAATTGCCAAGCTTGGAGCGCAAACCAGCAACATAATGAAAACTGTAGATCATCATTTCTGTGATGACCTGGGGCATGGCACAAAGACAACACAGTCAGATAATCAATAAGAGTCTTTTTATTAGCTCCAACTTTGCCCCCAATGTCCAGGTTACCTTCTGGCTGGAGAAAAACTCTCTCAGGAACAGCCTTTGACTGCAGAGAATTAAGTCCAAAACATGTTCAACACAAACTGTAACTATAAATCCAATCAAGCCAAACTGAGGTAATTACTTTGGCAGTGCAGGAGCAAGAATTCCAGATGTGAAGGCATGGCAAAACTCACATGGTTGGGAAGATGCCAGGAGCAAAGGTGAGCAAAGATAACACAGGATGAAGTCACATTTGTTCCCAGAAGCTGCTGCAGTCAGCATTCAGTTCTTTTAAACTTTCATTCCCAGGTGTGGCTAATGAAGGGAATCAAGGCCCTTTCCTCCCCCGTAAGCCATGCAACCCACATTGCTCTCTTCTCCATTCCTCTCTGTATGCCCTAGGATGAAGAGGGGGTGAGCCTGGGTCTTCCTCTGAACTCCCTCTCCCTTGTTCTATCTCTTTCCTGCTTTGCCCAGCCAGACTTTGCCTTTCTCCAGCCTCCTCCGCAGCCAATGGAGCCACACTCCCACTCCCTGTCAGCTGTTCATTTTCCTCCTAGGATTCAGACTCTGACAGGGGCATGACAATTTCCCTATATGTCATTTTTTCATGTGTACAGAGACATTTATACAGCATTCACTATTTATGCATAGGATGGGATTAGAGAAGAAAATTATTTTGAATTAAATTGTACTCCATAATGAGTTCTTAATGAAAGGTGTTTAAAATAAACACATTGCTAAGTAAATAAATAAAAATCAGCAAATTTTGAAATGTTTCAAAGCTTTGACAAAAAAATTAACTAGACAATGTTATCTGTTGCAATCAATTCCTGCAATTAGCATGGTCTTGCAGTCTCAAATTCTTCAGATATTTTTGATAACAATATCTATAAGAGCCAGGCAATGAGGCCAATGGTCAAGTGTGACAATCCAAAATATCTACGATGCTTCCTTGTGATTTAAATCAAAGGTCTAGAGTTCTATTTCCATTACTGTACCTGGGTCAGAAGGTAAACATTTCCTGGCAGATGCTGCAAAATGCTTCCCCTGAACAAAACAAAATGTTAGAATTTTTATTTTATTCATGTTTCTATTTCTTCTATTTTTTTGATAATAAGTTGCACTGATGCTTTGAAATCAGTTTATAAATACTGTACATAAATTGTTATAAGGACTCCATTGAATAGCTTTGTTCAAGTAATCTTTTTTGATCTGCCATGAGTTTATATTTTGACAAACGACTATGTCTTGAACAGCTGCAATTTCCTCCCTTTGGTAGTCCAGTTAGGATTGTTCTGGACTCTTTTTTTCCCCAGATCTCAGCATCAGCTTAATTGCTGCTTTAATTTCCCACAATACTCAAACATTCTAACTTTTAATTTTGTGAAGAAAGGCAATCTAGAAAAATACTTTTCAGGAGGTTTAGTTAAGACTTTCCAACAAAAAATTAAGATCTTGAGATTAAGAGTAGCTCCTTAAATAATCATAGTCTAATGTTTCAATAAAATAAAAATGAAAAAAGAATACCGTGATGTCAAAAAATCCGCAATAACTTTGAATATACTGTTTAATTTCATCTCTGGACTTCTCCCTTTGAAGAAATTCACATCTATAAAATAATATAATGATAATGTATATATTTTAGATGATCACAACAGATATGAACAATTAATGGAATTTCAGTCTGTCCTGGCATTTGACCATGAATTTAAAGCACAAATGTAATATACAGTAATGGGTATGCGATATTGTGGAGATTTTCAATATGAATTGAGTTTCATATTATGAAATAAGAAGGACGTGTTGTTTTAGTTTTTGTTCTCAGGATTCTTAACACTTTTTTACTTCAGAACTAGCATACAAATATCCAAGAGCAATGCTCCTTTAGATGGTGCCTGCCAAAAATGTTGGATTATAAATTCCACTGCCTGCTGTAACAGATTATTGGCAATGCTAGCTGGCAATGATTATTGCAACCCAAGATATTTTGGGGGTATCAGGTTGGAATTTTGCCACTAGAAATTAATGCATAAATGTATTTATTCATAGTATTTACACTGTCTTTCTAGTAACAAAACTACTACATTGAAATCTGACTACAATTCCAATTTCAGAATGGTGGTGATAGAAGATGGAACAGTGATAGATTGGGGTTGTTGATGGTGAAAATAGTTGTTTCTTCTATCTGTTCATCCCAAGCAATCCAGAGAGAGTAATTTGTTATAATATATCAGCACCCTGGAAGGGCAGGAATGGATCAGGATAGCCTAAGAATTAAAGCACCCTTCAGTCTACCTATATTATGTTTTCTTATTCAGCATTCCTTTGTTTTTACTTATATGATAATATGTTTATGTAATGACATAAATTTTATCATTGTTTGTTACTGATGTTTAAGATACTGGGTTGGATCAGGGTTTGATGCCTTAGAAACCTCTGACCAACTCTTACCTATAAATCCAACCACGATGAGGATTTAGTTCATACGCTCAGCTTATTATGCTCTTCGCCTGCTGTTTTGAATATTGCTAAAGCAATACATAGCATTGTTTAAATAAAAAAATCATGCCAGTTTATATTAACATAAACATACATAAGCAAACATTTTAAAACCTATTAAAACTGTGTGATATGTTACATTTAAAAGATATTCTTCCAGGATGCAGAGATGGTTAAATTTCATTTCATTTCCAAAAGGAGAGTGTTTCTGTCACAGATACAGAGCAACAAAGACATTCTAACAACACCTTTGCAACTGAGAATGCATATGGAAGGCATTTCTATACAAGTAACCAAAAAAGAACACTGCAATGGCCCTGTAGCGGATGAGTATTGAATTATGTTGCCATGAGGCTATATTACTATCACCCTACAATGACTGGTGCTTTCCTTTAAGGATAATCTTTAGACATAATTAGCAACAACCTTGTGGTTGGTGGTTGCAGATCAAATATACTCTTGGCTCTTCTGTTCATTTGGCTATCTTGGATTTGCTTCAAGGAATTTGGTAGTGGAGTCTCAGCTGCTGGGAATATAACTACAATACTGCTATCTTCAATATTAGAACCAGGAATGTAAAGGGATTGTGAACTTGTCTTGTGTATTACTCACTCAGGAAACCATTTTGCATGTTCTTTCCATGGATCGTCACCTTCTTCCCAATTTCCCAGGCACCCAGAGCAGGCAAAACACTGAACTGTATCTTTTATGCCTGCATGAAAGACAATTACACAGAGCTGAGTTATTCATCTGACTCTTGGTACTTTGAAGCTATCCTTCTGGAAGGCAAACCAGTACAATAAGAATGCCAAACAAGCAGAGGATTGTATTAATAGGGAAAGCTACATTAATCATCCTTGTGTATGAAACCTAATAGATTCATCCTGTATGCATAAGGATGGGATTCAAATTTCTTAACAACTGGTTCTGTGGGCGTGGCCTAATTTGTGGGCATGGCTTGGTGGTCACTTGACTGGCTGGGCGTGGCTTGTATGTAAATATTGATTTTTTTATTTAAAAAAAGAGCAACTTTTACCCAAAATCAGACAAAGCAGGCAAGCAGATTGAGTTACTTAGAGAATCACAAATTCACTCACAGATTTACCTTTTTGCAATCTGCTGCCTGAGTCTGTCACATACAATTTGTTTGCAAGCAAACTCATAAAATTTGCTAGCAAGGAAACTTAACTCCCAACACACCATGTATGTAAATATTGATTTTTTTAAGAGCAACTTTTATCCAAAATCAGGCAAAGCAGGCAGGCAGATTGAGTTGCTCACAGAATCAGATTCACTCATAGATTTACCTTTCTGCAATCTGCTGCCTGAGTCTGCACTGAAAAATAGAAGCTTCAGCCCTCAAGGAAGATTCAGCTCTGCTCTTAGGCCACTTCTCCACCCCCCACCCCACAACCTCCTGAATACCACCCCTGACTGGGTCTCAGGGAAGCCTCCTGGGAGAAGGCAAAGCAGTACAACAGCTATTTAGATTAGCTAGAAAGCAAGAAGTCCAATGATTACCTGCTTTCTAGCTAATCTAAATCACCAGAACAGCTGATAGTCGGAACAGCTGATTGTCGGGGGGGGAGGAACAATAGCAACTTACCAAAAATTAGGCAAAGGCACAATGTAGGCAAGTTGGATGGTGCGCATGCCAGGTAAGGAGTAACCCAGTGGGGCAGGGAAGGGAGGGGCCAGCTAGTGGCACGATTTGCTGGTTCTCTAAACTGCAGAATCACAACAACCAGTTCTATAGAACTGGTCCAACCAGGTAGAATCCCACCCAATAGTATATATACAAAATGCTATGTTGAATTTATAGACTTAATTGTAGCTTCTATTGGATGCCTGTGGAACAAAACATATAAACTTCTACTTGGCTATACTAATAGCACTTAAACTTACATACTGCCCTAGAATGCTTTACAGCACTTTCTGGGCAGTTTGTAATGTCAGCATGTGGCCCTCAACAATCTGGGTCCTCATTTTACCAACCTTGGAAGGATGGAAGGATGAGTCAACTTTGAGGATTCAACTCCAGCCTGTGGGCAAAGTTAGCCTACCATTCTGCATTTTAACCACTGCTCCACCAGAGCTCAGACGCCAGGACTACTTGTTTATTGGACTTGCATTGCTGCCTATCTTACATACAATATCACTGGGTGTCTTACAAGCAGCAGTCAAAAACATAAATAATAATAATAATATCACCATTTAAAACAAGAATCCTCTAGGTGCCTCAGATAATTCTTTTTGGCCCAGGGGCTTATAGTTCAGGCACCTCCTGGAGAAAATGAATAAGGACCCTGCATTGCCAAAAACCCCAGTTAATATGAATGAGCTGCCAGAAACACCAGTTTGACTGTAATTGGGTTTGTGGCTTGGTGTACAGTGGGAATAGCGCCACTGATCAACATAAAAATGGTAATATTTCTCAACAGCAGTGTGTGTTGGAAATGTGGTACAATTAAAGGACCGTAGCAGTATTGTTTAGTAGCCCATTAGACCAATTTTGCATCTCAACAAAGAACTTGTAATGTTTTATGTTCTCTTTGCAGCATGGAGATTTTAGAAATCAGACAATAAATATGCATTTGGATTACCTGTATAGAAAAATCCAGCATTAGCTAGTAAAGCAGGCTGTATCTCTTTGCAATAAGATGGCCAGTTGGTGAAGGATTCAAGTCTTGACTCCATTTCTTTGTGCTTATTTTTTACTTCTAGAGAATTGTTCTCTGGATTCTGTACTCGAATATCATATTTACAGATGTTACCAACCTCTTCGCCTAAAATAAATTTGCAACTGGACCATAGCTTTTTATGTTCCACAAAAGGTGGCCTTTCAAGACTTCTTGCAAGCAAAACTAATCCACAGCAAAAACACTGTATTGCAGTCTTAACACTAGTATAATAGAAGCCAGCTGCAGCCATTTCTGAGGGTGCCCAACCTGATTTACAATCACTAGGTAGGGAGAGGAAAGTTTTTAACCTTTTGGCTTCACTTCTCATTCTGGGATTAAACCCTCTTCTCAGTTGCTTTCGAATTTGCCGGTATTCTAGCTCCATTTCTTCCATAATTTTGCTAAAATTAAAATTTGATTGAGGGTACAACCTCTCAATATAAGTGGAATCCAGCTCTGAAATGTTACTGATATCTGCAGAAGTCTCTTGGGCAGCCATGCTACGGTATTAAAAACAAAGCAAAATTGTAAGTCCATACATCATAAATGATCTGGGCTCTGAAATTACATACTACATTGCACAGAGTAATAATAATTATAGTGTTTATTTTTTCCAAGGAATCAACAGAAAGTAGTATGGGTCTGACAATGCTTCAATTATTAATCCGAAGTCAGTTTCTACTAAAAAGGATTTACAAGTTACTTCCTCCTTTCCCTTTGCCCCACTTTTTGAGCTATTAGAAAAACCTATATAAAAACTCCTGTGCCTGATTTTTCTAGTATAAGTCTAGTATGTCCCAGTAATGTAGATATAGCAAAATTTTAAAAAACCCTAAAAAAAGAAACACTAATGAAATTTCTTTCAAAAAGAACTTACATTGATATAGAGATAGATTTTTGTGCACACAAAAGGGTTTATGCGTGTTCTCTCACCATTTTTTCTTGTTACTTGTTCAATGCAAAAACAAATTTCTAGGACATTTTCTTGTGCGTGAAGATTAAATGCCACTTGCAATTCAAATTTGTGTGAATGTCTTGGAAATGAATCCAGATTATAACAATCTTTGGGCTCCCTGCTGTGGTACTAATAAAATCATGATTCTGGCTTTAAAAAAAAGTTATTCTCACCAATGCAGGCAGTGTTCACTATTTCTCAATATCTACAGGAAACTCTTCAAATTGACATCACCTCTCTTTCCCTTTAAGTTTGGACTGTATAGTCTTGTAAAACCCACTGTTCATGAGCTCAATTAAAGTTGAAACTTAATGAGGGCAAAGAGTGGACTGGGACAGATATGTGAATTGCAATTGAGCCAAACAGGAATTACTGCTTCATTTCCCCCCCAAAATAAAAACTGACACCGAATGAAATTGACAGCGAATGAAACACACAGAAAAGAGATAGGAGGAAATAGGAATGCATATTTCTGTTTTGTATTGTCACTGTTATTGACACCATATATTAAATAATGTCAAATTCCTTCTCAAATATAGTTCAGTTTACTTGCAGACATTTCATTACCCAAACTAGGTAACATCATCAGGGCTACCTAGGTTGGGTAATGAACTGTCTGCAAGAAAACAAGCAAGCTTAGAGAGCACCCTCATTTCAACCCTGAGCTACAAATATCTTCCTTTATTAATAGTTCAGTTTAGCACTGGAACTTACCTGTTTCCAGGTCCTGATTCACAGGCAGTTGAAATGAGTTGCCTCAGGGAAAAAAGGATCTCTCAGTGCACATACCAAAAAAAACAAAAAACAACCTCTTCCTTTACAGAAAGGAGGAAGTAAGAAAAATGGACTTTCCACAATTGAGAAATGTATCCGTGGAAAGCGAAACAAGGACAGAACAGTTTCTGTAGGCAAAGTCTCGGGTAAAAATGACTTTACTGCTGGGAAGGGGGTGGGAATACAGAGATTCTTAGATGAAATTACTTATCTAAATCAGGAGTTTTCACAAAATGAAAAGTAAACTATTTATTATACATGCAAAAAAACAATAAAAGTTGAGTTTCAGTTATCAGAGAGTGTGTTAATGTTTTAAGCAAATAACTTAGTTTCAATGATTACAATGTAATTGCTTTTCTTGGATAAAAGTTGAAGGTAAGGAACAATAATATAATCTAAATTTAGCCTATTTCTATACTCATTTTTTATTGCTGGATATAGTCTTACAACAATATCACATATTTCAATGATTGACTAGCAATTTTGGGTATTTTTAAAAAAAGCTATACTCAGACATTCATAAATTCAGTCTAATAAAATCAGTTTAATTGCTGAAAATGTGCCAGAAGCAGCAATATCAGCAGCCCTGGAATTTGCTTTTTCTTTTATTTTCACCTTTTTGTATACTATCGAATATTGTACCAGTCTGGTAGCCAATTAATTATAATTGAAAAAAATTGTTCATTTGAAATAGATATTAGACATAATAGAAAAACAAAATAAAAATATATACATATACATATACCTTAGGGCAGGGGTCTGCAACCTTAAGCACTCAAAGAGCCATTTGGACCCGTTTCCCATAGAAAAGAAAATACCGGGAGCCACAAAACCTGGGTGGGTGTTGCCAATTCAAATCACTCACTCCCACCCAGTCACATGATACACACCCCAGCCACGCCTACCCAGGTTTTGTGGCTCCCAGTATTTTCTGTTTTCTTTTCAACAGGTCTCTCTCTCTCTCTTTTTCTCCCCCACTCTCTCTTTTTCTCCCTCCCCCCTCTCCCCTCCCCCTCTCTCAACTCCTCTCCCTCATCTTGTCAGCCTTGGAAGCCATTTTTCTTGGAAGCTTCTAGGCTGCCACATTTAGTGCCTGGGAATTTGGGAGGGGGGGATTTCATAGTGGGGTTGAAGATTAGACTCAACAACATTCTTTCTCCGTGAATCAAGAACAGAATGCTCTGCACCTGGAAGAGAGTAATTGGGAGGAAATCTTCTGATGGAATGAAGAAATGATAGAATAGAATACTTTATTGGCCAAGTGTGATTGGACACACAAGGAATTTGTCTTGGTGTAAATATTCTCAGTATGCATAAAAGAAGAGATACATTCGTCAAGAGTCGAGAATCATAAGGTACGACATTTAATGATGGTCATAGGGTACAATCAACAATCAAATCATACTAGGAAAAGTCAATATAAATCGTAAGTATACAAGTGACAAAGTTACAGTCATACAGTCACAAGTGGGAGGGGATGGGTAATAAGGAGTGATGAGAAGATTAACAGTAATAATAGTGCAGACTTTGTAATAGTTTGAACAGTTGTTGAGGGAATTATTTGTTTAGCAGAGTGATGGCTTTCAGGGAAAAAACTATTCTTGTGCTTAGTTGTTCTGGTGTGCAAGTGCTCTATAGAGTCGTTTTGAGGGAAGGAGTTGAAACAGCTTACGTCCAGGATGTGAGGGGTCTGTAAATATTTTCACAGCCCTCTGTTTGACTCAGTATACAGGTCCTTGATTGAAGGCAGGTTGGTAGCAATTGTTTTTTCTGCAGTCCTAATTATCCTCTGAAGTCTGTGTCTGTCCTGTTGGGTTGCAGAACCAAACCAGACAGTTATAGAGGTGCAGATGATAGACTCAATCATTCCTCTGTAGAACTGTATCTGTATGATTGGACTATGTGATGAACTGATGGGTGCAGGGGATGGATCTTTGGTTTCTCTTTTGGGAAGGGGAAAACCCAGAACTCTCACATTCGGATTTTCCCAGATGTGGTAATACGACTTCTCTAATAAAATCTTGCTTGAACTAACTTTGTTTCTGAGTGATGGAGATTGAGTTTGATTGGAATGTTGACACATCCGTCTCTCTCCCTCATCTCTCTTTTTCGTCTCATCTGTCCTCCTTTCTCATCTCTCATCTTTCTTTCTCCCTTTCTCATCTCTGATCTTTCTCCCTTTTTCTTTCATCTCCTCACTCATGTCTCATCTTTTTCTTTCTCCCACTTTCTCATCTCATTTCTCTCATCTTCCTTCTTTCCTTTCTCTTTCATCTCTCATCTTTCTCCCTCATCTCGTCTTTTTCTTCTTCCTCCCTCTCATCTCCCCCCTCTCATCTTTCATTTCTCTCATCTTTCTCATCACTTTATTTCTCCCTTTCTCATCTTTCCTTCTCTCAACTCTCTCTCACTCGTGTGTGTGTGTGTGTTCCCTCTTGAACCATTTTCAAAACCAGGTGAGGGTTGGGTTTTGTTTTTTGTATTTGCTGAAGTTGTTCTTTCTTCTTCTTTGGGTGCTTTTTACCATATGATTTAAATCAAGATCCATTTCAGCTTCCCAGATAAATGAAGTTCTTTCGTTCCCCCTGCTGTGGCTCCTGTCAGATGATCCCATCACTGGCTGGCCCCGCCCCTCGCCCTCACCTCCCTCACTCCTCGCCTGCCCTGAGAAGAGCGATGGCAGCAGATGGAGACTCACTCCATATTCCAGAGCGGGAGTGAAGTACCCCTCTACTTGCCTCTTCTTGGTGCTATGCGCACCTCGCACTAAGTTTAAGTGTGCTGCACAAGGCACTGCAAGAGCAGCAAGCATGCCATGGAGGCGGCAAGAGGAATATGGGAAGACGCATGTCTTTGTCTCTGCCCTGAGACACTGATGCCAGTGCTCTTGCCGCCTCTATGGCTGTTCGCTGCTCTTGCAGGGCCTCGCACAGCACAATTACACTTAGTGCACTTCACAATGGGGGAGGTGGCGTCCCCTCCTCCTCCTGGAGCCCATTATGACACGGAGCATCAGCTGCAGCCAGCCCGGCCAGTATCTCGGCTAGAGAAGTCGCACATCTCCCCCAGCGGCCAAGGTGCGCACAGCACCAAGGGCCAGAAAAAGAGGCAAGTAGAGGGGCGCTTCGCTCTGGAATACAGAGCAAGTCTCCATCTGCCCAGTGGTGGTATTTGACTGGTTCTGCCCAGTTCTGGAGAGCCGGTAGAGCGATGAGCAGTGGAGACCGAACCGGTTCTGTCCGCTGCTCTGCTATTGGGCCCACCCGCCTGCCCGCTCTGAAAACAAAAGCCAGGATTTTAATAGTGACTGGCGACATACTCAGATATTCCAAATGAAAATAAAACATATTTAGGTTTTATTTTTCCTAGAACATATGATTAGATAAATTACAGTAAAAAATTAGAGGGCACATTTCTGCAAATAATTATCTGCTTTGCTACTAAAAATATAGCTAAAGATATGACTCAGAGGTGGGATTCAGACAGCTCAGGCCAGTTCGAGCGAACTGGATGTTAATTTTACATCCAGTTAATTTTACATCCAGTTTGGCAAACTGGTAGTTCCAACGACCAGCTGCCCCCCACCCCCCAGGAGTCCCCACATGCCTGGTTCTGGCTCCCAAGTAAGTGCAGGGAGGCTTCCTGGGCCCCAAACAGAGTGCGGTGGGGTACAGTGAAAGAAAGAAAAAGAGGGAGGTGTGGGAGAGAGAAAGGGAGGGATGGGAAAAAGAGAAAGAGGGGGAGAAAAAGAAAGAGAAAGAAAAAAAGGATGGATGGATAGATGGAAGGGAGGGAGGAAGGGAGGGAGGGAGGGAGGGGAAAAAAGAAAGAAAGAGGGAGGGAAGGAAGGGAGAAAGGGAAGGGAGAACTAAAAAGAAAGAGGGAGAGAAGGGAGAAAGAAAGGGAGGGAAGAGAGAAAGAAGAAGTATCACAAACCCTGGCACTAGACACAGCTTCAGAGGATGCTTTGAAAAGCATAGTAATCCAGGACTGGAAGGTACCTCGGAGGTCATCTAGTCCAACCCCTTGCTTTAAGAGCATTGTTAAATTTTCTCTCTTTTGACCCACTCAGTCACATGACACATAGTCACACACCCCAAGCCACACCCACAGAACCAGTAGCAACAAAATTTGAATCCCACCACTGGTATGACTGAAACAAAGCAACAGTAGTGTCTGTAGGTGGAGGAAAAAATTAATATACATTTCCAGAAATGTAATAATGCAACTGCCCCAGTTTAGGTACATAAGCCAGATGTTTGATATAAATATATAAATACATAATTTTCATGAGAGCCAGGTTTGGTGTAGTGATTTAGGTGCTGCCTTAGAAACTAGGAGACTATGAGTTTTAGACCTGCCTTAGGGCCAGTCACTTTTTCTCAGCCCAACAGTGCTGCTGTGGGGAAAATAAGAGGCAGGATTATTAAGTACATTCACTTTGAGTTCACATTATACATAATAATTACATAATCACATATGTCATCATTTTAGTATTATCATGAGCTGCTTTGGATGTCACTGGAAAGTCAACCTTTACTCTAGATATTAGCAGAACTTGTTAACAGATTTAAGAGGAATTTCTAAAATTATATTTCCAGTTTCACTAATTACACTCACATCTCTAATAAAAGGTTCTGCATAGAAAAATCATTTTAAATAGATCTTATGCTTCTAGAGGGCAGCTTTCTCTACTGCCTTTGGAAGATAGTCGGATGTTTGTAAATTTTCATCTTTAAATTGTAAACAATGCCACAGCAAAATACATAGTACTTTAAAATTATTGACAAGGAAGCACACTCATTATCTGGAATCAATCTCAACTTTTCCCTACCCTTAATGGAATGGACAAAGGAAGCTAAGATACACAGGGGGCTATCACAGAAAAGAAACTTCATGTTTTATAAATCCAGACGTTATATATAGGTACATAAAAATAAATGCCATGAAGCTATTTCCAATTAAGTGTCAGATTATAGCCTTTATAATTTCAGAAATTATATTTAAGAAAAACAATACATAAATAAGATTAATATTTTAAGTGCACATGTCCAGTTTAATACTTTCAAGATATATTTGGCACATTACTCCATATTATTCCAAAAGAACAGTAGCAAAAACAAATACATGTAACATACAAAATTATGTCTCCATTAAATACATCATAGAATGGGTGCACAAATTCATATTTAGAGATGCCTCCAGCTGACTCATCTTCTTATCTTTCTCTTTAACTTAATTTATTGAAGATGTTTAATAACTGGTGAGGATTCTCTGCTCAGAGGAATGTAAAAGAAGTAATATTTAATCAAAGGCATCACATGCAGGGAGGACCAGGATGGCTGTGAATGCAACCTGGACAACAGTGCAAGCTATCATGAGCAAAAAGATCACATTCAACACAAAATGCACTATGACAGACTTTACAAATATAGACCTGTGGAGGGGGGAAAATGAAAGTTAAAAGTTACATCTTAGCACACCATCACATTGTTAATAAAGTAGTAATGCCCTTATATGCTTTTTAAAATTTTGCTAAGCAAATGATAATACCCTATTTAATATAAGCAATAATTTTATTACATTGTAATGAAAGCTGGCCTATTCTGATGTCAAGACTGAAAATAATTATTTCCAAGGCCCAAAATCTAATATATAAAGATGTTTGTAAAGCTTACTTGCATGGACATAAAATATAAAATTGTTTACAATTTAAATTTAATAAATACTTACATGATGATCTCTGATTTCTCCTTGACATCCCTGACAATACCTGTTTAAAATATATTTGCAAAATTTCTATTAGGAAATGTGTAATAATGTTTTTGTTCCAATTTATTACCAGATTTAGAAGAAGATTGGTGGTGCCATTGTAAATCCCTTTATTTAAAATAAATAAACAGAATACCATGGCCTCCATAATGAAACCTTTAACAAAGTTTTCTTTAGGGATTCACACCGTCCAAGAAATAGTATTCACTGCCTGAGATGAAGGTAGGAAAAGGCCTTTTTCTACCCAAAAATTGGAACTCTGCCTCAAACTTTAAATTACTCTTAAAAACTATAAGAACCAAAAGAAATACTTTCATAAACTGAAAAAATAATTTGGAAATATTTTACTCAGTAGTGAATATATTGTATTTTAAACAAGGGGCTAGTGAAACACTTAACTAGAAACATTAAAGGATATACCATTTAGCTGACGAACAAAATTCCTGGAATTTTGGATTGATAATCCTTTTCTTTACATACCTTTCCCCCATATACTGCTCCAGTGGGACTTCCTCAAAGGCATCCAAAGGAAACAGGTGATGATATGATCGAGCCAGATGTGGTGCAGACACCAGTGTAAGCCCTGCATAATATAGGTTCTGTTGATTTTCAAACCTCTGTTTCTCATTCCAAAATAGTATGTCCAGTGTATAAAAGTTTCAAGCTTATTTTTAGCTATATAACATTGAAAATGAATAAGCTTATTCTAACTGCCTAAAAGTAAAAGTATGATAATGAGCATATGCATATTGAAGTCTAGTCCTAACAGAATAGCCACAGCCAATCCAACATTTGTGATTAATTATCATGATTTATAGTTGAGTCTAAACGCAAAACATGATCCACTGGAGAAGGAAATGGTAACCATTCCAGTATCTTTGCCATGAAAACCCCATGGACAATACCAAAAGGCAAAATGAAGCTCAAACACTTTGGCCACCTAATGAGAAGGAAGGACTCACTGGAGAAGAGCATAATGCTGGGAAAGATTGAGGGCAATAGAAGGGGACAACAGAGAATGAGGTGGCTGCATGGAGTCACTAAAGGAGTAGGCATAAGCTTAAATGGACAGGAAGGCCTGGAGGAACATTGTCCATGGGGTCGCAATGGGTCGGACATGACTTCACAACTAACAATAACTAATTTCAGTCATAGTGAATTATGAAATTAATTCATTCAGGTGTTATCAACTAGGAATGTCCTGCACATAGGAATGGAATGGTTGAAGTTTCTAATGAAACATGGCAGATACAAGTGCACATGAACTTCCCATTCTAGTAAACCTATCTTTTTAATAGATCAGTAACTGTTTTAAAATATTATTTAAAATATTTACACAGAAATGTATATTACTATTAAGTCATAATCTCAACTCAGGCTATAAAAAGCAAGACAAGTAAATTATATTCCTAAAACTATAAAAAGTCCATTCAGATATCTCGAAACAAATGTATTTAAATCTAGCAATGCGCTAAACTGAAAAAGATTAATAAGCTAGGAATGCTTTAAGCATTAATAAATACTCGTTGTTAATGACACATCAGATAAACTAACCACAATTTTTAGTACAGGAGAAAACTTTAATCAGCTCTACATTGTTAATTTCTTGTAGTAACTGTTCTAATTACAACTTACTTGAAAATATTTTGTATTCATTCTGTAAACAAATTCCTTCTACCCAGGGGTGGGATTCAATTTTTGAACAACCGGTTCTGTGGGCGTGGCTTAGGTGGTGAGCATGGCTTGGTGGTCATGTGAGTGGGTGGACATGGCTTGGGGGTCGTGTTAATGGCTAGGCGTGGCCAACTCAACATTACTCACATCGAGGCACACATCTCTGCGCCTGGCCTCTCATGACTGTGGGGATGCTACAACAGTCGTAAGTGTGAAAAATGGTCATAAGACACTTTTTTCAGTGCCATTGTAACTTTGAATGGTCACTCCACACAAGCAAAGTACCAGCAAAGGAGGGGAAAAAAACTCCAGAGAAGTTCCTGAGACAGGAAGTCCAGTCCTGCCAAGAATGTAATAAGGGTTCACGGAGAGGCAGTTTCTGTAAGCAACACCAGCATGTTTCCTTCCTGCCTTCCTTACAGGATTAGGCCAGTAATTTCTTCTAACAACCGGTTCTCCGAACTGCTTAGAATGTTAACAACCAGTTCTAGCGAATAGGTGCGAACTGGTAGAATCCCACCCTTGCTTCTACCTGAAACTGCAACAAATATTTAACCACTTTTCAGACTTGCATAGATTAACTATATTTGAGTCAGATTTTTAAATTACTAAGTAATAATAGTAGTAGCCTACTTGGGACCCATATAACAGCTTAAAAGTACAATTTTCTAGAGAATGTGACACAATTGAAGCAACTGAGATATAGATCATTTATGAAAGATGGAGGAAGTGTCATTTAACCATAGCAGAAATGCTGTAACTACTTTGTGGGAACAAGTTTTATCCCTCGTTTTTAGCTATAAGAACGAAAAAGGAGAATATACTATTATGCTCCATTATGGTAGACAAGTATAAATGCCCTGATACTCACCACACACTTTGCATTCCACAGGGAGCTCACAATATTTGGCTCTACACTGGGGACAGAAATATCCTCCTAATGTAAGGCCTGGATCATTGCTGTTTTCCAGATGCCTATATAGAAACATATTGTTTTCTGAATACTTGTACTGAATGTGCTTGAATTATTTGAACAAAATTAAAGGGAGATTCTACAAGTAATATTATGATTCTTACGGAAATTGTCATCAAAGAAATCATGACTATTAAGTGCTTCTATTCTGTAATATATTTTTCCAGCAATTATGTTACATTTTATAGGGAAAATATTAGTGTCCTGCAATGGATAAAATGCTAAAAATGTATAAGGGTTGTTTCCACTTACAAAATAGCAACTGAATTATTGGCAATTAGTACATCTAAAAGATCAGTTGATTAATATTTTTAGAAAGAACAAAATAAGGTGTTGGTGAAAGCTAATTTTGATTAAAGGATTGCATCAAAAATGTATTTGCAGTTTTCAATTCATCACTTCCTATTTCTGGTGGGTGAAAAAGTCAAACTGAGTTTGCCTACATTTACACAGAAGATGTAGAAAATGTATCACAAGCTACAGAAGGATCTGATATACCTTAAGATTGTGCCCTATGAAATGAAATATGTAATATACAATCACATATTACTTACGCCATGCTAAAAGATGGTTTTGCATCCTGGTCAGCCATCAGTGCAATTGTGTGCTGAGGAAAGCCTATGTAAGAAAAAAAATACTTAGAAAGATTGATGTTGTCCAAGTTTGCATTCAGGCAAGATATAGGACATAGTATCCAAAAAATGTTCCAATTTGTACAAATTCTCAATGAACAGCAGCATGCAACTTCTTTCAGTACAGCTGTTTCTTAACAAAAGGACTACCTTGGTGCCACGATTACACATTACATATGGTAAAATAAGCTACCATCAGCCACGGTGGTCAGTGGTTAGAGTGTAGTACAGCAGGTTACTTCTGCTGCCTGCTGGCTGCCTGTTAACAGTTCAAATCTCACCAGGCTCAAGATTGACTCAGCCTTCCATTCTTACGAGGTGGGTAAAATAAGGACTCAGATTGTTGGGGGCAATATGCTGACTCTGTAAACCGCTTAGAGAGGGCTGTAAAGCACTGTAAAGTCTAAGTGCTATTGTTATTGCTGACATTGCATGCTGAGCCTAGAAACAAAATAGACTTGGAGGAATTTTACCTCTGGGTGTCCATAGTATGACCTGCATTTCTCTTGTTAAAACAATGGAATAAACAGAATTGCATAGAACATTTACAGAAATGCTGTGGGTTCAATATTAAACTCTTAAAATAACAGAATTCTTACCCATTCGAATAAGAGAACTTTCAGAACTAGAACTGGCTGGTGGTGGACTGACATGATGCATCAGGAGTTCCTTATAATGGCTTTCATCTAAAATAACATGGTAAGTTCCTGCCATACAGAAAATAGTTAAAATAGAAGTTGCAACCACTGCCAACATATGCATCAAAAGCTACCTGCCTGGTTAGAGTGAGAAGTGTCCTGCAGACTTAAAAAATGACTCTTTGCAAGTAAAGAAGTTCTCTAAAAAGGAAAGGTATTGTTTTCTCTTTTGGTCTAGTCAGCAGTCCCCAAGCTTTCAGGCTCCATGGACCAGCAGTGGTGGTGGCGGGGAGAGGGATGGTTTTGTGTGCACAACCTAATCCCACACGTGCGCAAACGGTGCTTCGCGCATTCACCCACTGTTTGCCTGGCCCGGTTCCCAATGGGCCACAGCCTGGTATCAGGCCACAGACTGGGGGTTAGGAGCCTAGTCTAGCCAATACACAAAGAACAGTACATAGTGGGTAATAGTGAACCCACTTATCCACTTATCTTTAAATTTTTGTAAGGCTGATTAAAAAAATATTAGTGAAGCATTAATTACATTGATTGCACTATTACAATGTAACAATTTTAATAAGTTAATTATGAATAAAACACTTTGATCAAATTCTATTGCAATCAAAGAGTCAGATCTAGTCAATTCTGATTGCCAGATACACAATTTATAAGAAATACTAAGGAATTTTTACCTTCCTTTTCACTTTATTAAAATTACCATATGCTCCTAATTTATTTTCTTGTGTTATTAAAACAGAAAATACATCAATAATCTAAAATTTGCTGCAAGGCAATTGTTTGGAAAATATATATTTTAAGTTCCTTGCAGCTATACCGAACACTCTTCCGATCGTGCTGTTGCTGTTATGTCAGTGTCCTCTGTTTCTCTAGGCCAGGGCTGTCAAGCTCATGGCCTGTGGGACGGATGTGTCACACGTTAGCCATGCCCACACCCACTTTAGCAAAGGGGAAAGAAGTCGTGATATGTCATGTGACGCCATGATAATGCATGTTTGACACCCCTGCTCTAAGTAGCAATAAACTACCAGAGCTGAAATCTGTTTCCAAAGCCCTCTTTGTAGCATGTTTTTCATCATTTGAAACAGAAAACACTTTTAAAAAGAATTCTTTTAAAAAAACTTTTAAAAAGAGTATAAATATTAAAATAGATAACATAATTTAAACCAGAAAAGTCCATAATTTCCCTCTAAAAGGAAATAACTCTTTTAAAATCACATCACCAACTTCCTTCCACTAGCACCCTGCAGTTGTCAGAGACTCAGTACATGTTTAGTGTTGCCCACAATCATCAAAAGATTTCTCAGCCACGCTTTAAATGCACAACAGAAAGGGGAAATCGTGAATGTTTTTCAGGGAACAAAGAGTTCAACATTTTACAATGGTTACTGAACACAACCAGAAGCATATTGAAGCTACATTAGAAAATGGTTATAAATAAAAAAAATCTTTATATTGCATGGTCAGGAAAAATAGAGAAGGGTAAAATATATATATAAACTTTCTATAAAATGATGATCTTTGTGCATCATTTCCTTTGGTAAAAATCCATATCCATATTTCTGAATTCATTTTATGTATATAAATATACATACCACCAGTTTCTCTGGCAAGTACAGTGCATACTCGTACTTCAGCAGAAAGACCAATAACAGACACTCTGATCTTAACCGATTTTAAGAACTTTGGATGAAAAAAAGACAGAAATAAAAAAAACACATTCCATCAGAAAAGAAACTTATAAAAGGAAAGAAATTTCCAATATTTCATAACACCCCAGTTAATTATTTAATTATCAAACTGGCCCAGTATGACAATTAAATAATAAAACAGAATAAATTCTGTACCTTTATTAGATCATATATATTTGAGGGATCACATGTTGTAAGGCTGCTCAGTATTACTAAAACTTCTCGGCTTGTATGTCCTGGCATGTGCCTAAAGACAATAAAATATTCACTTCTAATAGTTACAAGAGCAAGTTTCAAATGTATTTATGATTATATTGAATATGTGAAGTCTGTTTGAACCTTCAATTGCAAACAGATGAATAAGGCTTTATTAAATCCTTTCTTACTGAAAGAAGCAAACCCAAGTTTCTGATACAGATAGATGAAGTTATACATATACCTAGTTTGAAAAAGAGTGGCTATATACAAATGTGACGTTTACTTTGATAGTGATGAAATACAAAAAACACAAATGAAAAAAATAATATAAGACTTCTCAATTTTCCAAAATCATTAATAACAAGACCAATTTGATAAAGCTATTATTCTAACACAGTCTTAGCTTATTTCAGTAATCATGCAAGACTGCATACCTTCCAGCAACAAAACTACCAGGATTTCTGTATGATGAAATCCAACAGAGCTAAAGGAAACAGGATTAGAAAAGCCATTCTAGGATCCTTATATTCCAAAGTGACTTGGAGGAACAAATTAAGGCAGCCAGTTTGGCATGCAGGCAAGGCATATGATTTTACACTGAAATCAAGTCAAGAAAAGGACCAGAGCATGAAACAAAAATATGTATCCACACTCAAAAATTATTAAATTGCCCTGTCAATTTTTTGCTTTTTTAACATCACTTATAATTAGTGCAATCATTTACTGCTATTTTACAATAAAATTAAAAAAAATCAAACTTCACTCTTATATTTCCAACATATACTTACTTTAATGTTTGGGTGGCTAAATTTAAGGCATTATATAGAGAAGGTTCTCCTAGGCAGGTCATATCTACTGCTTTTTTCAGAGCTGTTATGTGTTTCCTTGGATTCCCTATGAAAAGAAATTAACCTGTCATCACAGATTAATGTCCTAGCTCACTCCCAAGCTATGGAAAATAACTCCCTTAGGAATTGTATTTGGCTGTTACTGTTTTTAGAAAATTAAAACTTCATTTTAATGTACATGTTTACAACATCAAATACATATACAGTATATATTATTTATATCAGAAACAATGGCCATTTCAGGAAGAAATATGAACCGAGGAAACAGAGAATCAATACCTGAAAGTTCAGTCAGTTTTTCAGCTCTTTTACTCTTAGTTACAACAATGCCAATCTGCAAGAAATTTGTTTGCCGTTAATAGGATTCATTGAGCAATGAAAATTATATCTCAGAAAAGATATGGCTATATTTACATAACGGACAGAATAGGATAGTTCCACATACAAAACACTATTGCTTCTCTTTCTATTACAACAGATTTTGCTGATGAAAAGACTGAATCAAAACAGTTATTGCAAAATATTTCCTGGAGCAAAATGCTTTAGGAAATATTTTGTAGTCTGCATCTTAATTAAGTAACATAAAGGTGTAATTTATTGCTTAATTGTGCTGTAAAACCATGGAATCTGATAATGCAGATTTCAGAATGCTAGGAATCATTGATCTCCCCTCCTAATTTTTTTTTAATTTATATGGCTACAAAACAGGCTTGATAAATGCTGTCTGGTGAAATTAGCAGCCCAGGAATGAAGATATTGAAGATATTGAAGAGCTTGAAAATATTATAATGCACTATTTCTCTATAATCCAGGAAACAAACAAAGATTACATTCATGTAAATTGAAAATCCATGCTGGCTTCAGTCATTCTAAACCACTCCAAGAATCCACTTGCAACAACTGGGAAAAAAGAAAGTATGCTTGCTTCCCCAATTCCAGATGGTTAACTAATCGCTACCACTTTACCAAACATTAAGGAAAAAAGGTAATTACAGGAATGACCTATGCATGTAGCATCCTGCCCTACATAATTTCAAATTCTATCTAATCCTTTATCTTCCATTATCTATTTCATGCTGCTTTACCCAATAATAAAGTGTTAGTACAAAATTAATGTGCACTGGAGTTTTGGTTTTCCCTAGGACAGAAATGGAAAATATGCTAGTGGTTTTTAATCTTAATTTACGATAACATATATACTGCTTAAACATTAGAATCTTTTTCCAGGACTTTAAACTTCAAAATAACTTATTACTACCATCAACATTTCAAGAGAAATTGTATATTTAAACAGATGAAGCTTAAACAACAACTGTGAAACTTTGTTTTCAACAGTACACATACCTGGCTTATAGGATTTTGATCAAAATATTCTTCAACAAAATATTCCAGTAGCTACAGAATGAGAAACATTAAAACAATATATCAAATACTATTTTATATTGGACAAATGTATTGAATTCTTTGCATCTCTTTAGAAAAATGCTCTTCAAACTAATTTCTAAGCTATAGTGGTTTAAAAATAGCAAAAATACTGTGAAGTTAATAGCAAAAAATACTGTAAAGTCTGATCATTATATTTATAAAAATATGCATACTTCAAGGATTAGCTTCTTTTAAAAATGATGATCCCAGTTTTGCACAGCCCCACACATTTAGTTAAAAACAATTGTAATTGGAATCTATGTACCTATATCTTTTGACTGTGACACTTCTTGAGTTTAGCAGGACTTAAAATTGAACTAGTTTGTAATTACCTGCACTCCTGAACACATTTTCTAGGGATTAATTCCAATGAAATCAGAGATTGCTAATGCGTTTGGGATTAAACTGCATGCTAATTCATTGAAACAAACCAGGTTAATACATTCACACAAGTGGAAAACTGCTACAATATAAATACTTTCACATAAGAGTACCAATTTAAGTAGACTCTTATATTCACGGAATTGGAAAAATCATAGTGAACAATGTACTGGAATATAATTCTTTATTGGCCAAGTGTGATTGGACACACAAGGAATTTGTCTTTATTTATATATTTCACTTTTCGGTGATATACTTGTTATTTCTTACCATCTTCTATTAGAATAATTGTGCAAGTTCATTAAACTAAGAAAGGATCACTAATCTATGGTCAACAATAAGAATTTGGGTCTCCTAGACAAATCCCACATTACATTTTTTATATAGATTTGGAACAATTTTGAATTATTTCAAAAATAATCACCTTTAAGGTACATGTTAATCTATTAGGTTTTAAATCTTGATCTTCCATTGTTCTTGATCCATCTACTACTACATACAGGTGGCGCATCTATAAAGATTAAAAAAACATGAAGCACATATTATATATATTGTATTCCAAAATAGCATTAAAATATTACCTTTATATACAACTTCACCTAAAATGACAAAGCTAGTTTTCAAAAAAAATAAAATCTATCATTCCCTTAATGTAGAATTACAAATTGCAAACATGCATAAACTTGATTAAGATCCACTGAAATCAAAGCTCAACTAAAAGCAAAGAAACTAATCCTGAATACGTAAGTGTAAAGTAGAGACTACAGATATCAAGTTTTTTTTAGGCTTCACCCTAATTCTTTGCCTGAAGCATTATAAAACATACCTGAACTAATCCAAGAAATGTATTACTTATCACAATTAAAGGGATTTATAAGATATTCATTTATTATCTTGCCTTTATTTTTTATAAGTAAGGTGGCAAACATACCTCTTTTCTCCTCCCTATTTTCCCACAACCCTGTGAGATTGAACCGAGAGTGACTGGCCCAAAGCCAACCATCTGACTTTCATGCCTAAGACAGTACTAGAACTCAGAGTCTCATGATTTCTAGCTTGGTACCTTAATCCCTGATCCTCCCACACCGAAATCCAGGCAAGAAGTTGCCATTTACTTTGTCCTACTTCATTTAATGCCTAAGTCTAATTTAAGCAATTTTATTTGAAGCAAAATGAGAAAATGAAAGTGTACCATCCCAAGTCGAACTTGTCCATGATGTTCAAAAGTTCTATAAAATAAAAAATAAATTATTTAGTGTAATGTTCATGATCTCTAGGTAAGCTGTTTGCATATTTCATTTTGTACATTTTCTAAAAGGTATAATCCATGTAATTCATGCATTGATCATTACCCACCTGGATTGCCGTAACACATTCTACATATGGCAGCCTTTGGATATTAACAGGAAGCTACAACTATACACCATACTCAATTAATGCTTACCTTTTTCTCTTGGCCTTGTAGAGAATATCTTCTATACTAGCTTTTAGTGATCCAGATTCATCTTCTTTAAGAATTTCCCTAGAAACAAAAGAAACAAAAAAAAAAGAGTAAGAATTCTGTAATGTACTTAAAGCAGGATGCCACATTTTTTTAAAAAATGGAGGGAAACAAGTGCTGAAAAAGCAAGCTTACCATGTTCTTTCGTAACCCCCTTCCCACCGTTTGGTTCTTTCAGGTTCATCATCCATTTCTTTGAGTCAATGTTTTCCTAATTAAGTAACAAAAATAATTATCACAATCTACTTAAAAAGATTTTAAAAACATTGTATTGATAGCCGCACAGACACATATTCCCACACAATGCATACATACAATGATAGAAAGTTAACATAACCACATCCTGAATTGTGTTCAAGACCAAATTTACCTAACTGTGTTTCCCCCCTCAATTCTGAAAAACAGTTTAGTGTATATTTGCTCCATGGAAAACACCTTTTCCTTGCATTCAAAGGCACTTCCACATCCTTTTTCTATTCCTTCTGTGGGAAATCAGTCCACTTCCTTGTTTTCTAAATACATTCTGAGCCATTTAGTTTCACATCACTATTCTTATGCATCTAGAGGGACCAACTTGTGAATAATCAGCTGTTTTTAAGCGGTTGTTCTTAAACTTTTACTGTGTACATAGAAAAAAATACTTCTTACAAGTATACCCTTGGAATTTATATAACTTAGAGTAACGTTATTACACGTTGACACATTTATTCATGTAAGTTTATAAAATAACCCAAAAATAAATAAAGAATATATAGCCAATAATCTCAAAATATGATTGATTTGAGAGGTAAAGACGTAACAATCGGGCAGCGGGCTGTAGGGAGAACTTCAGAAACGGAAAACAATAACGCGATATTTGTAACACAAAACACGAGAGCAAAACTTTGCCCAGACTGCTGCAGCCGAAGAAAAGCCAGCCTCCCTCCTGTGGCTGATCTGGAAGGTTCACTTCCCAGGAGCAGCAGAAGAAAATTTAAGAGAAAAGCATTTTGCACTCACAGCGTTTCTCAGCTGACAGAAAGGTTTTTTTTTTAAAAAAAACTCGAAACCGGAGGGATTCACCAAGCCTCCTTTTCTTCGTCAACGATCTGTTTGGAAAAACGAGGAGACGAACAAAAATAACCCACCCACCGCCCCCTCTTTCCTGAAAGAACCGGCAACAACCCAACCAAACAGCGCCTCCTCTTCTGATTCCGTTCCTTTCTTTAGACACTCCGGTCGCAGCACGAAAACGGTGCAACATAGTTCCGGCGAAGAAAAAGCTCGAGATAGAGGGAAAGCGCCATAGATGCGGAATAAATATTATTTCTTATTAGCGAATGGCTTCTTAATCCTTGAAAGGGGATTTTTGGAGGAGACTTTGTACAGCACCCGCTTGGTATAGTAAAACTTTTGCTGAACCGAAAAGTTGTTTTGCGTAGCTGTATCAAAGATAAAACTTGATAATTCTTGAGTTTTGGATTTTATTCCCTTCCGGATCAACACCGCACGGTTCTGTTTTTATGTGCAGTATTTAGGTGTACGGTGTCATTAGATCTTGAGTGAGAGCAATATTAAAAAAAAAACCCGACGGGAGAGGATGCAGGTCATAGATTGCAATACAATTGTGATTGAATGCCAATGTATCCCCTCTCCAACTCGCCACGTAGCTACAAGTTATAGCAAAAGAGGAAGGAGGGCTGAATTTGACTGAATAGTTTCTATTAGTTAGAAAAAAAGACATCATCAGAGTATATTATAATATACACACATGCTGTCTGTGTAAATATGGAGCACTTTAAATCCAGACCATAGCTGATTTCTGCAGATGCAACCGATTGTTTGATTGAATTGGCCTGATTCAGAGGGGTCAATTTAAGGAAGTTGTATGGGTGTGCATAGGAAAGGTTTGGTTAAAAAAAATACGGTTTGCTTCTTACTCTCTGATCTGTACCATCAGTACTGTAAAATTGTAATAAACGATTCTTTCTCAGCCTAAGGTTGCTGAACTCTGTACCTGCCACTTGCAGTTTGGAAACATTGGATACGCTATAGTTGGATTTTCATAAGTAATGCTGTTTTAAAATTTTTGCATAGCAAAAGGGATAACAGAATTTTTAAGGGAGCTCAGTGGTGGAATTCAAATTTTTTTACTACCATTTCTGTGGGCATGGCAGGGGAAAGATATTGCAAAATTTCCCATTTCCACCCCACTGGAGCTGTATAAAACCCTGCAATTTTCTGTGATAAAATTCCACTAGGCATACTTAAAACAACTGTTGCTAAGTATATATAGCAAATTGCCTATGCCCTATGAAATGCAATATTCAAGCAACATGATCAGGTATTCTTGTCAAGTTTTCAGGGATATTAATCTGATCAGTGAACAAGAAAAGGCTTTTTTGATGATGGTTTTACACTTTTGGAATAGTGTACAAACATATAGAAATATCTGGATACCCTCTAAATATTGCTGCCAAAACTCCACATTTTTTGAAAAACTATTCATAGCTTGCTGCTTTATAAAAGCATTTTTATTTTTTTAAAAAAAGAAGATTGCTTCCTTTCGGTAACATTGGCAGTCCTGAGAGCACTTGCAAGAAAGACTATACTGCCTCCTGCCGTGAGTTATGGCAAAAGGATACCCAGATATTAACATTCTCTGTTCATACTCACTCCTATGAAGTCAGGTATTTTTAGAAATAAGAATTGCATTCTCATTATTAGCACTCACACAGCTGTTGAAAACATTGTTATTAAAGTGCACATTCAGGGATTAGGAGAGTGATAATAAGGTACTTTGCATATGCATGATACTATTGTGGTTTTGTGACACAGAATTTGTGCATGAATGAATAGGTTTAATTTATATCTTTTATTTGCAAGATACTTAAGTTTTGTCAGTTGAAGTAGCATAAAAATTCAAGAAAGGGAGGAAAGGAAGAAAAAGGTAGGATCCCAAGTACAAAACTGAAGCAATTTAATTTTTTTTTACCTCAATACAGGTAGTTCTCAATATGGGTAGATTGTAATACCAATCACAATTGGGACCAGAATTTCCATGGCAGCTTCTTAAGTGACTCATGCCTAATTTTTTTGTGCATTTTGCCAGTTATTAAGTGAATCACTGCAGTTGTTAAGTGAATCTGGCTTTCGCCATTGACTTTGCTTGCTGGCAGCCAGCTGGGAAGGTTGCAAATGATGATCATGTGACCCCAGCATGCTGCAACTATATGCCAGTTGCCAAGGGCTCAAATTTTAATCGTATGACGGTGGGAATGTTGCAACAATTGTAAGTGTGAGGACCAGACACAAGTTCTTTTTTTTTAGTGCCTTGCAACTTTGAATGTCACTAAATGAGTGGTTATAAATTAAGAATTGGTTGTAATACTTCAGTTGAATGGCATTCAATATATATTTTATGTTTAAAGCTTAAGATATGTTCAATACTATTAATAGCTGTTAATTTACATATACTTCATAAACTGTACAGTGTGTTCTGGTATATAGTATACTCCCATATGAAACAAATACATGCAATTACAATATACTGTAAAGTTTAAGATCAATACTCTGAAGTTCAGTTTCATAATTTTAATGAGACTGCCCTTCAGATCCATAGCTCTTGTATTACTCTTCAGAAAGAATAGATATATTTTCATCTTTTTATTTTGAGACAATAGAATCTAGAAAATGTTAATGAAAATGTCATATGAAACATTTGACTGCAATCCATGGCTCCACATCCACCGCCATTTTTTTCTTAATGTAAATTTGGAACTTGATGTACATTGTTCCTTTTTTTCTGCTTTGGAAATTCCTTCCCTGTGGTATAGGGCAGATCAAGGTATTTTCATATCCCAGTTCACAACAGGAGCATCAAACATTACTCTTAATCAGATAAGATTCCAACTTAATGCTCTTAACAAAACATTCTTCTAGCAGGAAACAATTTCTTGCAACACCTAAAGGTACAGGTTTGGATGAGTTTGTGAATCAGAATAGCTTGTGATTCTAATATTTAGTCTTCTAACTTATTTCTCATCACTTGTTTATGAAGTCTTAAAAATTTGGGCCAATGGAAAAACAGGAATATATAGTATATTCAATTTTCATCATAGATAAATTTGTAGATCCCAAGATTCGACAAGAGCAGAAATAAACTATTTGATATTAAGTAGATCTTTAAAAATAACTAGATTTGGATTAAGGTAAGTATCTTTTATTGCCAACATTCAAATGCATAATAGAAATGGATTGGATATATAAAATAGTAAAATATTTGTTATGGTTCCTGTGATAATTAAATTAGTTTAGGCTTGAATTACTGAGCTTTATTCTCCTTATATAGCCTGTTCCCATTAAGTTTAAAAGAGATGGTTGACTTCTATCAGGTTATATGTATGTTGCAGACAAGTTACACAAAATGAAATTATAACAATATTCAGTTCATTAGTATTACTGATGTAGTAGCTACCTTGCTTACTTTAATAGGAAAACAGAATGAAACTGAAATGAACAATCTCTTGGCTTAGATTTATTTAATGCATGCAAGGTATATACTTTGAAGTTTTTTTTCTTCCCTCTTTTTGCAATATACATACAATTTTAAAAACCATCTTTGTACAGTATATAACAATTTATTAAATTTTATTAACTCTCAACGATTCTGAGCTATTAATACAATAAAAGAAATTACAAGAAAATCAAAAAAAGATAAAAGATTGCAAGTGACCAGATGAAATAAAGCGAGGGATCTCTTTATCTCACCAAAGGCCTGGGTGAAGAGTCACGTCTTCCAGGCTCTTTTAAACATTAACAAAATAGGGACCATCTGGATTTCAAGGGGAACAATCCAGAGAGTAGGTGCTGCTACGGGGAAGGCACACTTCTGGATCCCTGATATTTGACATTTCCATTAGTTTGTTACATCTAAACCAGGGGTGTCAAACTCAATTTCATTGAGGGCTGCATCAGGGTTGTGTTTGACTTGGGGGACGAGGGATGTGGCCTGGGTGGGTGTGGCCAGCTCATCACTCATGTTGGGGTGCCTATGGTGGCCAGAGCGCTTTGCCAGTGAAAATGGCTCCTGAGCTCCGTTTTTGCTGGCAGAAATACCTCAGCCCAGACCACTGTTTTCAGGGTAGTCCCACGGGCCAGATCTAAGCATCCCATGGACCGGATCTTGGGCCTTGGCCCCTGGGCCTTGAGTTTGACACCCCTGATCTAAACACATTGGCAAGAGGCATCTAATGCAATATCTTTTTTAAACTTCTTCTAAACAGTTCTTTAACTCCATTTTATCTCCAGAGATTGACTCCAATACCTATTGCTTATCAAATGAGTAGATGAATATACATATTAGGGTTACCAGTAATAGGATCCCAAGCTGTGCTACCAAATTGGTCTGATAAAGCATTGCATTTCCAATTTGGCAGGTAAATATTTCAAGGATATTTCTGTAGACGCAAGAAATCAGGAACCAGGGTTGCTCAAATGATTACAAGTTTATTCCATGCTATCTCTCTACAAACATCTGAACTACTAATGCGAAGGCAAATTGGCAGTAGATCAGTCAACAACATTCAAGGGAGGCTGGACTTAGATCTCTTGTGGGCATGAAGGAACTCCAAAGTGATGATGTGCCTGACCCTTTGCTGATCATCTACAATTTATTTGTTCCCCAATATAATATTTCTGAATACAGTCTTGGTTATTTTTCACAGAAAAAAGGATTGATAAATTTTTCTAAATCTCTAATTTGATCATTCATGAAGAAACTCGAGATGGTTCAGAAATGAAATGAAACCTAATGTTCCTACACATATGATATGAAACAAAACTATTGATTTGATTGTTTATACATTGACAAATTTGAATTTTATTGACACTGTATCACAAATTACAAAATGAAATCCAGTCTTTCAGTATGTAAGGTATTGCATTCTAGTCACATATTTTAAACACAATTTCCATTATTAAAAAAAAGTGATTAAAAATATTACAGTGCTTACATAAATGTACAGTAGATGGATCCAAACAGTCATATTTCAATTATTAGTCATGACTGAATCCTACTGGTCTCAATGAATCTTTTAAAACATGGTTCAACAGACCCTGCAAAAGAGTCCAACAGAACCTCAGACTGCATAACTTCTGGTGTCCTTTCCAACTCTGTGGTTCTACTATTGTTTAGACTTGTCATACACCTCTGCTAATCGTATGGCATGCATTCTTTTTATTTCCCAGCATCTCTCCCCACTTCTAATCAAAAAGAACTCTAGATGTAGCCACTGTCAGAAACCTAAAATTGGGCAGTTTTAGGGACCCACCAAAAGAAAATAAATTTCCCAGTTCAATTTATGGAGTACAACACTTGGAACAAAGCCAAAATGAATGCATCTGGTTTTCAATTCAGCACTTATAATTTTTCCATCACCTGTAGGGTTTGATATCAGCACCAGTGCTCAATCAATTATAACCAGAAATAATTGTCAAAAGAGTGCCCACATTTAAAACTAACAGAATTATAATAAGTATAAAAACTGGATTGTCTTGCTTTATAGTACTTGTTTTCATGGTAAAATGTATATTATTTAATATATTTTAATATTATTATTGCATTATAACATTAAATATGTTACAGGTAGTCATTGGTTAATATTTTCTATTGCTAACCAATGTGGTTGTAAAACAATATCATGTGACTGCATCACTTCCTCATACCGCTCCCCATTGGTGGTTAAGCGAGGATGAAGAGTTATTAGGCAAGTCTCAGTTTACAAGCTTAGACAGGGAGGGCATATGGTGTGAAAATGGCAGGGCCAGAGGTAGTTTCTGCTGGGTGGGGGAAGATGTAAAAAACCTACCAGGGAAACTTGTAACCTTCTTTGACTTTGCTTGTGGGAAACTGGCAGGAAGGCTTCAAATGGTGATCCCATGACTGCAAAATACTGTAACCATTTAAGTGTGTGAGCCAGTTGGCAACCACTCAGATTGCAATCACATGACTATGGGGGTGTTGGGACAGCCAGAACTTCAAGGACTGGTCAAAAGTACCACTTGTTCAGCACCACTTAACTTCAAGCAGTTGTTGAATGAGTGGTTGTTACATAAGGACTATTCATAATGTGAATACATTTGCTTTTACTTCTCTTTTTGTCATTTGGCCATGATATGATATGTCTTTACAGAGCAGTCTAGATTTTTTTTGCAATTTAAAAGGATTGGTTAAATGTGCATACAATATCAGAAATAAACCTCATTGATTTGGGACTTCCCATTAAGTTTGTATAGAATTGTAGCTGCTTATATAGTCAAATATAACATACAGGCATTTTTATAACAGTTACAAATTGGACAGTCAAGTCAAACACACTAAAAATTATATTTCTGTAATAAAATGATACTTAAAATACAAGATGAGATTTTAACAGAATAAATTTACATTGTTTCACAATGTCAATAAAAATATATTATACTGGCTGATCAACAATGGATCCATTTATACACCATTTAAAAGAAAAGCCTGCTAGTTTTTTATTTACAAGTAACCTAGATATATAAAATTGGTTAAGAATAAGAGAGGAAGACAGGTGTTTTGGATAAAGGATATAGCTTATACTGTTTAAGATGTAATGAAAAACATTTATCATTTTTTTCTGAAATTAAGATTGCAATACGCTGAGAAAAATGGAATGAAAAGAATGACAAGAAAAGCAAAAGCTCAAGATGTCCACTGTTGATCCTGAAAACATAGGTGGTAAAATTCCTTGACTCAGTGAAACTATAAAAGATCCCATATACTGAATTCTTATTTCATGGTAAACATGGCACAAATAATATTATGAAGTATATAAAAGTATACAAAGGATCTCTCTCACTATTGTATTGTCCAACACAAAGATATCCCAGCTTAATGAAAACTGGCATTCTTATGCAACCTGATTTGTTTCCTTCTTGTTATGATTTCCGACTGTCATAATCACTGACCATCCTTTTGATGTGGGACAGTTTATTCTTCAGCATCTTGCAGTGTGCTTTTCGCTTTTTATAATCTGCGGACTGAGGACAACATGCAAAGTAGTATTAATGTCAAACGTATTAAAAGTTAAAGTTAAGAATACAATGCTAGATTAATGTAACTAATACTTCTGTTTTAATCCATAAAAATAATCACAGCAGATGGCAGTAGCTAGCCAATTTTTGCTGATTTTTAAAAAGCTAAGCAAAGTGGGACCTGATTAAGAAATCACCAGGACATCCTAGGTGATTGGGCTTCTAGAAAGCCATAAAACACCCCAAAGAACACAATGAATAATCACTCTTATTTTGAGGTCAAGAAAACAACATTTATGTGCCCATGAAATCGCCAGGAATGAAGTTTGACTTGAAAAAGCCTATTTATTTTACAACAATAATGAACAGTAATACAATTAAATTGTCCTATATTTCAAAATTAAGAAATTATAGTTCCTACAGCCATAATAGCACAAAAGATACTTAAATGACAATGTGCTGAACCAACTAAAACTGTTTGACTTTACATTTGGCTTAGATGCTTCAGAATGCAGAGAAACTTGAAAGCAGCATGTGCTCTGAATTATTGAAGCAGCTGGGTCTATTTCTAGAACTGGGCAATCCCACTTCAGTTATTTTAATAAGTCCTATTTGTGCTATTGAGCATTGTGAATCACCTTTTCCAAATTGAATCCAAAGAATTGTATTGCCTTAAAACAAGCAAAAAAACATCTCTACCAATGCTCTGTTCTTACAAAATGTGTGTGTTAATTTGCATCAACCAAGAAGAGTCATGGCAATTTTTAGAATCTTACAGTCTTACACATTACAATCTGATAAGTAATTCTTGCTTGTTTCTATAGAATTTTTAAGTAAACAGATCCAGTATTGCTGTTTAAAAATCAAACTGAGCAGCTATATTAAGTAAAGCACAGTTTTCTTTTATTAATGGGATAGCACTCCATCACAATGGACCAAATATGCTCTCTGGGATATTATAATACTGTTGTTGGTTTGAACTCAGAGCTTGGCAATTTGATTGCAAACATTTCATCCCCATTCGAGAAGACATCTTCAATGTGCTTTCAATTATGCTTGTCTGGGGAAGACTGGCATTTAAATACCTTTCTGAATCCTGTTCTGATTTCGGGTTGTGTTATTTACTGGCTGTTGAGTCACAGTCCTTTGTTTTAAGTACCATCTGTGTGATGTAAATTAGTGCTGGTGTTAGCAGCAGCTGAAGACAAGTTCAATTCAAAGCACACTGAAGATGTCTACTTGAATGGGGACAAAACCTTTGCAACCAAATCGCCAAGCTCGGAGCTCCAAACTAACAACATAACTACCAACCCGAGCTACTAATATTCAAAGACATTTCAATGGTTCTATCTATCTGGAGCTGCTATTAAGCAGGAGTTATGATGAGTAGCTCACATAGCCTGGAGATGAAGAATGAATAAAGAAAAAAGAAAATAAACTAAACAATTTGAAATGTAAATGAGGGACCTGAAAAGATTCAACAATGAACATTTAAAGTTACATCTGAGTATTGCCACCCTAGTGGCAAGTCTTAAAACCACTTACTGATTTGATATCCTTCAATCTGTTATATTCATCAGCTGCAGCCTATGGGAAAAAAGACCCAAAGTCAAATTAGACATCCATGTAGAAGTTCATTACTTCCCAATCCTTTTCCTTCATTACCCAAACCGCTGATTAAACAATCCTGTTTAACATTAATAACAAAATCCTTCTTTAAATTGGGTAAGCGGTTTGTGTGTCATTACCCAAAGGAAAACCACTTTTACCTAATTTCAGGTAATTTACCCACTGAATTGAAACCCAATGTATTTAAAGGCAAATTAACTGGTAACTCTTTAGTTGAAATATTTGAAATATATGTTAAAACATGCAGAACATCAGCATCTCTTTAAAGCAATCATGTCTTTTTTTCAAGCTTTCTTGCAAACCTGAAGAAATCACTTTCAACTGGCTGAGATTCCTGAAGGCCCTAGACCACTATCTCAAGCTGGACACAGTGCTTCTGCCTACTGCTGTACTGTGTGGCTTACACTGTACCTGAGGCACTCAACTTAACAACCCTTGCAACTGCTCAACAACCACAACTGGGAATGCTGAAGTTAGTCATTGAGTGAAGGAGTCATGTGGGTGTCTCGCTTAACAACTGCAATGACTTACAAATGAAATTCTGGTCTCAGTTGTGTTTGTATGGAAAGGAACATCAAAAAAGATTAGCATAAAGGAACAAAAAAAACCACACTTGTAAAAGAAGCCCAAAGCATTTTTCTTAACCATTGTTGAATAGACTGGAAGGATGTCTAAACTAAAAAAATAGTGAAAAGAGACTTCAATATTCTCTAACCTCAGAATATAAAGTTGATCTTCAAGAAGGTTAAGATTTTAATGGGTCGGGAAGGAAAAAGCAATGAATATTGAGGCACAAATTTTTCTCACGTGAAAGCTGAACTACTGAATATTTTTTACTTCATTAGCCACCATAGCAAATGGACCTTATTGTCTGAAAAGTTTTAAAGGTTTCCTTAAAATACCATTAACCATTTCCTCTAAATCAGGGAGGCACTGTTTATATCAAGTGCTGACAGACTCAAACTCCCATCAGTTTCAATCAGCAATTGCTGGCTGCTCAGAGATTGCTACCCATTCAGCTGCTCAAAAATTAAAGAGTTTTAATCACAGGCGACTGTGATTATGGTTAGATAAACTCCATTATTCTATGAAATTTGTAAACAGAAAAATGCTTATAAGCCTTTTCAAGTATGATAAAGCTAATTTCTAGGAAACAAAATTATAGCGATTATAAATGCTAATGTGCTTTTCCCAGGTCCTGTTTATACATGATTTTTTTTCATCTTAATTCTTCAGTATCCTATAAACATCTGAAAACAAAATAATTTAATAGTCTTTAACCCTATTATTGATTTTGCAAAAGTATATATTGCTTCATGTTTTAGAACATTTCAAAAAACAAAAATAGGAAGCTGTGAAGCAATCCCACTCATGTTAAATGAGTCTGAAGATGATTCACTCAGTGAGACACCTGAAAAAGGTTTGGGTAATTGCAAATTACTTCAACCTATTTTCTGGACATGACCTGAATAAAAAGAAGTTGCAACATCTTTAACTCTAGGATCAACTCTAGGGCCAACTTTTAGGATTACTTTAGGACTAACATTAATTATAAACATATAATCTTTTTCCTTATATAATTTAAAGTGAAAAATACATTAATTGTCTGTTTATATGAGTTTAAATAAAGAGGCCACCTTATATTCTTCACTGCCTTCAATGTAGTCATCCAGCTCTTTGTCAAGACGAGAGAGTTCTTTACTGATCTCATCAAGTTCTGCTTGCAATCGTTTGTATTCTTGTAATCCTGCATCAAAATCTCGCTTGTACGCTTGTCTTTGATGGTCTGATGATACTGATGGATACTCTCTAGATGACAAGTAATTTAAAATGGACCTTGTAAAATGATTTGGATCTATAAATTATGGTCAAATTATACCCAAAATAAACTGATTTGTGTTTGCAAAAAAAGTATATTAACATAGGAGTTAAATTCGCCTTTCATTCACCCTCCAATATTTGTATAACAATTACACTTAGTTGAATACTCTTTTGTATTAGTATTCATATATGTACAAACATGGAGTTTAATAATTTGCAATTCCACAACTTTTTATACATATTATAATAGATGCACAGTTTCTATTATCTGGAGAGCTATGAAATTATGCAAAATGTATCTAAACAAAAAATATCTGGGGTTTTAAGGGAAGAAACTTTTATTTAGTCTGTTCCTGTAACACTCCAAATTTGCCCCCAATTCCACCAATTCTTGAAATGTACTCGACTGGCTATATTTTCTGCATTCTTGTTTCAGATATACTATACACAATGAGTAGTATATTGTTCAAACAGCAAAATATAACAACTAATTTGATTTTCTACAGGCAATTCTCATTTTGGCATAGGCATTTGTAGTTGAAAATGATTTCTACAAAATAGAGCAACATTTTATACTCAGATTGCACTCTTTGTTAACCCAACCCAACCCAACCCAGGGAACTTTTTTAATGTTGACATGTGGGCTAGTTAATGCTGATGAAATAGTTGAGGTTTCCTTAAGCAAGTTTCTATTTTTATAGTCACATTTTGTGTGGGTGATTTTTTTAAAATGTATGGAAAGAAAATGAACTAGATAAATACTTAGTATGAACGAACAAACTGTTGCAAGTTACTGCAATACTGAACAAATATTAAAATGTGAACATATTTCCCAAATGTAGAGCAATTATGGCTTTCCTTTAAAAAACCTGACTTTATATTTTGGCTTAAACAATTGGTTACACTTCTTTTTATTTATTTACTATATTCATACACTAAACACTCCCAGTTATCCCAGACTGATTTCTCATAAAACTCAATCAGAAACAAGCAACTCCAGACATAATCTGTCAAACATTTTTTTAAAATTATGTAATCAAAAAGATAAATCACTTAACTAGAGTAACAATTATATAGACAGTGTAAACATTGCAAGCCAGTTAATAGATTTATTTAAAAATGCCGATTTTGTGGATGACTCTTTAAAATTTAGATTTGAAAAAAAAAAGGGGGGGGGGGGCAGACTGAAGCATCAAGGGAGGGAACAATCATCAAAATCTTCACCATAATCTTATAATCAGATATTGATAGAAGTAGCATATCAAAATAAATTTCTTAGTTTCAGAAACTGCACTTCAACATATAATATTTGGCTGCATTTCTCTTCACTGTTCTACACTTGTATACAAATAGTTATAGGTTGATATAAAATGACACTACTAATACAGCAACTACACCTACCATATTTTTCACTTCTACTGAATTCCAAAACCTTAAATGATTGTACACATGCTCTCATAAGAGGCATGAGCTTCATCTCAGTCATAGATAGGATTGATATTTTTCTTGATTACGGGAAAGGTATTTCATTCATTTTTTGTTAAATATTAGCTGATGACTCCTAATGTGAGACTGAACCCCAAATTTTATTCCTTCCTCTTTCCATAGCATCGCTTACGTTCCATAAACATCTGCTAGAGTTGCTGGGAATCAGGCAGCATATACCTTTAAATCATCATCATCAACAACTGTGATACAGTTACAGATATTGCTAGAACTAAAATCTTCTACTTTCTATAGACCCCACTGGCTATTAGTGCTATAACACGGCCAAATAGGTGGAGTAGCCAATACCTGTCCCAGTTCTCATCCAGTTCATCACAAGATTCACCACCTGTGGTATAATCAGCATCATAATTATCACTGTTGGCTCTTCTTGTTCTTCCTCTTTTCTTTTTCTGCTGGGGCTCCTTAGCTGACCCATTGTAATTGCTAGTGTTCACATACTGGGACTGTTTTAGGTCTCTTGTTAAGGGAGCAACAACTTCAGGTACCCTGTTAAAAATAAAGATTAGTTCTCAGGTTCATACCAAAAACATCAACAATACAGGGGGCTAATTGGATGATGCAGGGAAAAATGGTATAAAAGAATTATGTTACATGGATATATAGATGGACAACATGGCTATTTTTCAGTGACAAATAGTGTAATAGTCTTGCTATCTGTATTGTTTATATTCTATTTTATGGTATAAGCTGATATCCTTTTCCAAAGGCACAAATAATAAACAAATTAGTAGTTGTATATCTAATAATTAGAATTGCAATTATACTTCAGCCAATAGGTGTTAGGTTATTCCTCTGTAATTACCTAATAATAAAAAGAAAAGCAAAAAATGTACTGAATTGTGAATATGAATTATATTTGTATTGGAAATATTTATATTTTGAAACATTGAAATAGAATTAAAAAGCAATAGGTGATTATTATAACTAACTGATTATTGTAAGCTTCTAAAAATTGAAACATAATTACTTGGCATTAATGACTGGGCAAATCGCTTTCAGAATCTGAATGGCTAAATACAGTTGTTGCCCATTAACACAATGGTCAGTCTGCAAAGCCTACAGCTTACAACAGTTTTCAAACTTGGCAACTTTAAGATGTATAGTATAAATGTCAACTCCCAGAATTCTGGGAGTTGAAGCCCACTATCATAAAGTTGTAAACTTTGAAAAAACTGGCGTACAATGACCACTTTCTGAACCTAATATATTAAATAATTTATTTAACAATCTACCATTGGAAAAGCAAATCTCAACCTTCCCCTGTATCATGTAGATCAGGGAGCCAAAATGTGACCATGCCCTCCCCCCACCACCATGTGCATCAAAAAATTTGGAGCATCTAGAGTAGGTGGGTTTGAAGAAAGCAAATTGGGTGCTTTAAGTGTTTTAAATTCTTCAGTTATCTATTTCATCCCTTAAAACCCTCTCAAAATGGACATCAGCTATACCAACTACAATGTATCACGTGACAAAACCTGACAACTATATGAAGGATATATCTAAATTGCACATCCTGATGAAAATGGTGCAACAAATCAGGAATCTTCAAGATCAGTAGGCAAATCTGAAAATTTTAAAGTGTTGAAGGACACTCTAAAAACTGGTAGGGCAAGTAGCAGGGCTTTCTGTTTACAAAATAGCTCCATGGTACTCTCAAAATACTTCTTTATCAGAAAGCAAACTCTATAGATGCCTCATATATAGCATATGGAAGTAAGAAAAAGCAAGCCAGGCTTGTAAACAAAAGGAAATATACCTCTTTGAAATTATCTGCATCTCTCCAATAATCTAAATTACTGATGTTTCTCATATAAAGCTCTTGCAAAAATACTGCTTTGTTAAAAACATGAGAGAATATGAACTAAAAGAATCTTTCTAATGTTATCATATTTATCCTAAAGGACGACAAATTCACCATCTCCCATGGAAAAATAAACAGCAAGAAATATTTATCTAGACAAAAGTCCTGTGCATTATCTGTTTCGCTCCCCTTTACTAATTTAGGGTCACTATGTCTCTCTGAAACCAATTCTGGAATCTTTTTCTGTAAAAGAATACATGCATGTGAAACACTTGTATTTACATAATTGTGTATGTGTGTGTATACATATTTACAAGTATGCATTTATATATTGCATGCATACACACACACTTGTCAAAAACCTATCTAAAAAGAAGAGCCAGAAGCGGGGGGGGGGGGCATAAATTGAATTACAACTAAATCCTGGACTTAACATACTAATACGGGAAAGTAGTATCCAAAAAAAGAATGACTATTAAATCCAAATGATACTGTAAACATGAATGTTTTATGCATTTATCAACACGATTTTACGTATGCATATTTTATTCATTCTAAGTATGCATATTTCAGGCAGTTATATATACAATAGGAAATAGGTTTTAATGCATAAATAAAATAGCAAACAGGATTCTACACATTTGAAGAAAATTATAAGTTACAGATTTTATTCATAGAATCCCAAGTGCCCTAAACAAGGCTATTAACTCAAGGGTTAACTTTTATTAACTACTGGTGATTCAAATTATCTCATTTAGAAAACCAATCGGCCTCTGCACCAAAGAACCTCTGCTTCTCTCACATACAAATCAGCCTCCTCTGCAGAAATACACAAACACACACACACTGACATACTTCTCTCCTCTTTCCAACAGAAACAGTATAAAGGAGGTATGAAAACAAGGTGGAGATGCGAGAAGAAAAGTTTGCTGTATTTGGAAGGAAGGCAGTGAAAGAGAAGGACACAAAATTAGGTAGAAATGATGGGATGAGATGGGAAGATATAACTGGACAAGGGAAAAATACTGTAAGGTAGAACATCTTGTTAAGGATTAAAGAACGAGTCACATCTGGCAGGCATGTAGTCCCAAACAACAAATCAGGATGACATTCTCAATTCACAGATAATCATCTTTCTTTTAAGTATAGTCAAATTAAAGTAAAATTGAATATTACTGCCAATCAGGAAGCCAAAGTAGATTAAGTGCCTTAAGACCCAGAAATATTGGCTTCATGCCTTCTGTTTACTGTAGCTTTCATCATAGCTTCCTTTAATCATATTGTTCAATCTATACTGCAACACAAAGACGATGTTGTAGTAGAAAATACTACAAGAAACGAAGACAATATCATGACGGTATAACTTGTTTCAGGTGGAAAGACTTCCAGAAAGAGTTCCAGAAAGCAACTTAAGCAAAAATTAAAGCCAGGGGGAAAATGTTAACTTCAATTATTTACAACTGTGTGATAAACTCTGGGAGGGTTCTGGCGGCTGCACCCAAGATTTCCAAAGGTGGTTTTGTGTTCCCAGATCACAAGACTGTCTTGTCTGTCTCAGCTCTACTTTCTTACCTAGCCCTGACAATCTCACAGAGCACAGGGTTCAATGTAATTTGTATTTATACACTACATTATCAAAAGGCAAATTGACTATTCTTATCCAAACAATGGCTATCTTATACAAATACAGATTAGAACTGGAACATACATACAAGACAATCATTTCATTAATACAAAACTACATTTGAACAGTCTTCGGTTCCCCCATCTCCTATTTAGAACTTTTTTTTAAAAAAAAGCTGGTCATTAGGTCTGCATAACCTATAACTTTTCAGTAGATTGAACATGCTTGTAGAGTACTACATATAACTCAATTTATGGACTTAATTTAAAATACTACAGTTAATAAATCAAGGACAAGTGTTTGATTTAAACAAAAAAAAATGAGATAAGTCGTCAGGGCAAGCTTGATTCCTGGTGAACGTGGAGATGCCCATATTTTCTCCTTAGAAAACATTTAAAAATCGTTTGCTTTCTTTGGGTTAGTTTTTAACTTCCCAGTCTGACAAACCTTGGAAGCCTCTCATTCTAGAATTAATTAGGGCCAATTAATACCTCATATTTATATTCATTAGTGCCAGTTATTAAAATTGTTAAAGTATTTGGGTTGATCATGTGCAAGCATATTAATATTTAATGGAATACAGGTAGTCCTTGACTTATGACCACAACTGGGCCCATAATTTCTGTCATTAAATGAGACAGGTAATAAGTGAGTTTTGCCTCATTTTATGACCTTTCTTACCACTGTTGTTAAGTGAATCACTACAGTTGCTGTTAGTAACAAGGTTGCTGAGTGAATCTGGCTTCCCCATTGACTTTGCTTTCAGAAGGTTGGAAAAGGTGATCATATGACCCCGGGACACCTTGACTATCATAAATAAGAGTCAGTTATCAAGCATCTGAATTTTGATCACATGACCATGGGGAGGCTGCAACGATCATAAATGTGAAAACAGTCATAAGTCACTTTTTTCAGTGCCACTGTAATTTTGAACGCTCTGTAAATGAACTATTGTAATTCAAAGGCTACCTGTATATGCTGCTCTTATACAGGAAAAATAGGATGATTTACAAAATTAGAAACAAGAGCAAAAAATAATTTGATACATTGTGAAATGATTAGTAGCAGAAAAAAAAATATCTGAAAGGACTGAGAGCTAGAATGAATAACACTGATTTTAAGTTTCACCAACAGCAATACAATGAGGATTCGTGGTCTATAAAGTTGCTCTAGAAAGGAGAAAAATCTCATATAGCTTTGCACCCTTGTTTTTTCCCTGACTTTCAAATACACTGCACTCATTCAAGCAAGCAGAAAAATGGAAATGATTACTCACGGACTAGCTGTGTAGTTGTCCTTGCGAATCTGATGTGCAGGAGCATCAGAAATTGAGTATCCCATAGAACTGGCAATTCGATCTGGATAGTCAATCCCTGGGGAAGTTGCCACTGGCTCTGGACTTACATTCTTAACCTGGAAAAGCACACGAGATAAATGTTTAACATTGAAAGGGATACGATTAATCTAGTACTTCAGGTTTTAATTGCTTAGATTTCGTACATTTAAATATTACACAACGCTATCAGGAAATGAACAAACAACAATAACTTATTGGAATGCAGAGGAGGTATTAACTTCTGCAATAGAAACACACTACTAACAAAGATATGGAGTTCCAGTGATAGGCCACTGCGCTACAAATGTAATTTATGGAGTGATTCCATTGCCAACATTTTTCACTAAGTTTTCTTCAGGAATAACAGGAATCACTGCAATTTAGCACAAGAAATAAATATAAGATTGATTGATTGATGGCCTGTTTGTTTAATATAGCTACCCATTTCAGTTTTATGTGACTCTAGATGGGATTGGCCACCAATGGAGTTTCAACATGCATGGAGCATAAGGTTAACAATGACTTCAGTCATAATAGCTATACCTACTATCTCTAGAATCTGAATATTAGCCCCAGGAGAACACTGGACTGCCATCTCTATAACCTGTCTCACTTCTACTTTCCATCTGATGAGATGATGTGACAAACTGGACTGGATGGGTTTTTCCTCATTCATGACTATTTCTTCTAGGACAGCAGTTCTCAAACTTTCCAACTTGGCAACACAGCGAGGGGGGAGGTCATAGTTCTGTGTGAGTGGCAGGCAAACATGAGTTTAAGTACCTGCTACTCGCGCAAGTTGCCTGCAGCTTGTACAACCCAGTTCTGAACAGGCCACAGGCCAGTAGTGGGCTGCAGCCTGGTGGTTGGGGACCATGTTCTAGCAGCACTTACTGATGTCATCTTAGGAATTTTCATATGGGCTTCAGTTAGAAAAAAGCATGTAGTAATTCTTGACATGATCACAACTGTGACCACAATTTCTGCTACAAGTTGTTGGATTCATAAGTTGAGTCAGACCCGATTTTACAACAATTCTTTTGGCAATCATTAAGTGAATCCAGTTTCCTCAAAGCATTTCTTTCTGGCATTTTTTTTGCCAGAAATTGGTCAAAAGGATCATAAATCATGATCATTTGATTAGACACTGAACTGGTCGTACATACAATCTGGCTATCAAGTGTCCAAATTGTGATCATGTGACTGTGAGGGTGATGCAATAGTTGTAAGTGCAAATTTTAAAAAGTGTTGTAAATAACTTTTTTGAAGGCTGCTGTAACTTTAAACTGACACTAAACAAATGATTGTAAGGCAAGGACTACCTGTAATCCTGGAAAATGAAAGAGCTGTATGCTACATTAAAAAAACTAGGCAACCATATTTTTTTCCAAGTGCTTGTATTATTTGTTTCTTGTTCAAAGCTTTGTTTGAACCCCGAGATTGGGTAACTAATGCACTGTGTAAATTAATAAATTAATCATGTGCAATTACCTCACACAATATTTCCTATGATTGTGTAAAGGTAGGAAATCTGTTCTGCAGACATTAATGAATCATAGTGCCAAGCCACCCTAAACAGTATGACCAATGGTGAGGACTGAGTTTTACTTCTGCAATATTTGAGTGTGTCACTAAATCCCAATCTTTCAGCAGTAATCCTTGCATGCAACTGCTCACACTAAGAACAGAAGTTTTACTAGAAAATTTTCTTTTTATCAGGTAAAAAAGGAGCATTCTTTACCACATAACAGCATGTGAAGCAACATTTCAATTAAACCAATGTAAATGTTTATCATGCTAGGGTAAGAAAGCAGCAATCCAACAAGAGCCCAGTTCTCCAGGACACATATGCTGATTAAAAGCTTAATACACATACCAATCGAAGAGGAGGAAAAAAGGTCTTAAGAACTGCCACATTTTTCAACAAAAAGAGAGCCAGCAGGAAATGAAATCTGTTGAAATCCATTCAACAGAGAAGACCTAATTCTACACTTGTTTTAACTCATTGTTCCAAACAGAATTTAAGGACATTTCCCTTTTACTTAAGGATCCACCTACAGATCCAACTCCAGTATGTATGGGGACTGGACAGATTGACAGATCAATAAGTTGTACTCGAAAAGAACTTCCAGGCAAATGTGAGAGTGACACATTTATATATTCAGGAATGTTCAGCCCAAAATATTCGAATTTGTTAACAAGAATGATTAACAATGCTAACTGCAAGGCAAGATGTCACAGAAATAGATATGGTCAGATAAATAATGTGCTATAACTTTGTGCTAAGAAGACCATGTGGCTGAAGCAATATCTGCTATCTAAAGAGAGTGGTCCATATATTCCTTCAAGGTACAGTGGTGCTTAAGAATTTGTGAATTCTTTTGAATGTTTAATATTTCTGCATAAATATGGCCTAAAACATGATCTATTCTCCACACTCCTCTTAAAACTAGATAAAGAGAACCCAATTAAACAAATGAATCAAAAACACTGAACTGGCAAATTCTATAGAAGAATGTTAGGGTATCTATCCTCAAGAGGAAAATGTCTCATGCAGCAAGACAACAACCCAAAATACACAAGCTGTATGGCCAAGAATGGCACAAGCCGAAGAAAGTTAATGTTTTGGAATGGCCAAGACAATGTCTGACCTTAAACCTATAGAAATGTTGCGGAAGGACCTGGGGCAGGCAGTTCCTCAGGAAGCCTATCTGAGTTGAAGCTGTTCTGTAAAAGCTAAAATGCCTCCAAGCTGATGTGCAAGGCCAATCAAATTATCAGAAACATTTAGTTGCAGTTATTGCTACCCCCGGGGGAGAGTGGAAGGGGCAGTTGAGTAAACCACTACTGAAAATAAAAATCCATCTGCTATTGCCACACAAAATTATGTGGCTTTGGATCATTTCCCTCTAAAATCAATGAGTAAGTATAATGATTTTGACACATTTGCTTACTTGGGATCTCTTTTAACTAGTTTCAGTACTTGTGTGGAAAATAGATCATATCTTAGGTCACCTTTATGCAAAAATATTAAAAATTCAAAAGAGTTCATAAACTTTTAAGCACCACTGTATACTGAGGTAGGTTTGTATATGTTAACTGCTGTAAGGCTGTTAGGAGTTTCATGCTGAAAATGATTCCTTCCTTGGAAAAATGGTAACAAGCTATTCGATCTTCAGAATAACTTTGTCTTCAAATTAAATCTGAATTTCATTCTACTGTTATCAGAAATCATCCTTGGACTATAATTTGTTTCATATATACCACCCCACAAATTTGTTTTTCGAATTTAATGTATAGAAAAAAGATATAATGTGTGCTTCTACTTTGTGGGAAACGAGATGCTGGCAATCATTTAATTCATTGTTAAGAATGATTTACACTCATTTGACTATGGTTCCTAGTAAGTAAGCTTGAAGCTTAATAGTGATTTTTATGGGTTTTTAGAGTGAAATATTCCTTTATTTTTCTAGTTTATATTTTTTATTTAAGTGTTTAATTACAAAAAGGCAATAGTCCTGAAGCCTTGCTTTGTTTGTTCATATTGTATAAAACATGAAAAGAGAGCTATAGTTCATCTATCATGTAAACCATTGTTTAATAATTATCTGTTGAATAAATCACAATTGCCAAAATCCAAAACCAGGTTCCAAATACCTGATTAATATACTACACAAATCATATAATGGCTTACAGTTTTTGTGCACTGTGCTGTGCCAAATGTTTTCAACAAAAACATATTGCGAGGTGTCCATTTATTGATACCGGTAGTCCTCAATTTACAACCATTCATTTAGTGAATATTCAGAGTTACAAGGATACTGAAAAAAGCCACTTATGACCACTATCCCCATGGTCACATGATCAAAATTCAGATGTTTGGAAACTGGCAGATATTTATGACTGTTACTGGGTCACTTGATTTACAACTGTCTGATAAGCAAAGCCAATGGGGAAGCCAGATTCATTTAACAACCATGTTACTTACCTAACAACTGCAGTGATTCACTTAACAACTGTGGCAAGGAAATAAAATGGGGAAAAAATCACTTAACAACTGCCTTGCTTAGCAATATAATCTTTGGGCTCAATTGTGCTTGTAAGTTGAAAACTACTGTAGTAATATCTTTCTCTAGTTGCTTCAGAAGAGCAAGGATCTCCCAAGGTAGGTAACTGATGTTTCACCTGTGTTCTCACGTTATAGACAGGGCAAAATATTTCTTGCTGACAACAGGTTAAGATTATTCAATAGCTGCTTAATATGTACATGGACCTAAGAGAGCACTAAGACTGTGTCTGTGGCCTAATATATTTTATAAGATAGTACATGTTATAAGCATAACTGCATACCACAAAAGCGTATTTCTAAACTGCAGCTAATATTCAGTATTATATAGACTGGTATCTCAAACTGGTATCAGTCTAGGTTCACTTTAGGATTTCCTCTAACAGAAAGAGAAAACAAAAAAGATAGTGTAACTGGTTTTTCAAGCTTTTTATGAAGCTTTGTAGAAATATTTTTTCAAAGAAAAAGTGCTTGACATTCTTCTGATTTGTTTCCTGACACTACCATCTCAAAAAAAAATTGAGACAAATGTAAAGCCTAAAAACCTGAAAAAGAATTGCAAATAGCATATAAGTTTCACATACACAAGATAGCACTTCAGATCTTCAGAGCAAAGCAACAGAAGCAGCCAACTCTGGTGAGGTCTTGTATTTATGCTAACGCATACCAGGCTTGGTTTGATTCTGGGTTAGTGTGATATATAAAATGAGCTATCTGATTTGCAAATTGTACTTTACAGATTACATTATATGTGAAGCAACTCACAATGTTTCAATAAACTATGGTTAAACAATATATTAACAAGGTAAGTGCACTCAGTTGGCATGAGAGGAAGAAAACTCACGCTACATAGGTTTGTTTTTTTTTGCTCTGTGAAAATGAAATTACTCAAAGAAAAACTTACTTATACAGTGCTGGGTAAAACTACTTTACTGTAAAGAATTCTCTAGTAATAAGTCTTTCCCATGTTCCTAGCACTCTGCACTGAATAAAACCAGAATACATAAGTGT